CATCTCCAGGAAAACAAAAGCATGAACCTTAGATGCGGATAATTTATTTGACCTTTGAGCCAGATGAAGATTTCCCCACTTTCCTTGGCAGCCTGTTCTGTAAGATTCCCCGGGGACTTTCAAGAGCCAGGACTATGACAGTTGTTAAGCTCTTTTCTCTTGGCAGCCTTGAGCCTGTTATCTTGTCCTTCGCACCTGCTAGCCTTACCTGACTCAGAAATGTCATCCCAGAATGGAGACTCAAATTCATAGTAGCCCTCCTTGATCTTCTCGAAAAGTTTAGACTCTGTTTCTTCGTAGAAAGGGGGATACCCACACAACCTGCAGTGAAACAGGAAGGAGTTATGCTGCTAAACAACCCCAGTCTCCCTCTGCCCAGCCTCCACTGCAGACACAGCAGGAAATAGGGCCCCCAACCAGCAGTAGGAACAGGACACGGATCTGCCCGATTCTGGAATGATGCAGGCCCCATTAAGTGTTTGTGCAGGAGCCAAAGCTGGGAACATGCAGCTCTGGAAGGCCCCTTTGTAAGTTACTCCCTCCAAACCCTCACTGCCTCTCCTATACCCCTGACACTTAGAGGATGCATACAAATATCTTTAAGAGAGATGACAGAATGTCTGCTTGAATGTACGTTTTGAAAGGAATTTTTTAGGCTATTTTGTTCTTTATTTTTTAGTACCTAAACCAGTGATTAGCACAGAATAGACTGTCAATAAATATTTGTTGAGTACATGAATGAATGAGAGTAGTTATTCAACATAAGCTTAGTAAATAAAGAACTGAGTCCCTACTAAGGGATAAATATGTTATTTTCCTAAGAGCAGAGTCTGCAACAGGTGAGGAGGGCTGGAGGGGAAGGAGTGATGAGTACGTTTGGAAAGGAGAGGCCAAGAATATGTGGACAGGAGCTGTGACCAGGTTCATTCGGGCCATCATTTGGCCTCGGGTGGACTTGCCAGGAGAGAAATCTGAGATGTGAACATTGTGCCCACTTGGCTTCCAAGCCTGGCTTGTCCTCTCCTTTCTTCACTGCTCATTCCACAGAGTAGGACTCAACAGTTATAGAGAGTAAATGGGGGTGGGGGTGCAGGAAGAGAGAGTACCATATGGTTGAACAGTGGGTTCACACTGAGCTCTGTTTTAATAATCTGGTGGAGACCAGGACAGAATCCTCTGGAGCTGTGTGCATGGTAAGTGTGTGTGTGCGTGTGTGTGTGTGCGTATGCACGTGCACATGTGTACATGCACATGCTCTGAAGGTGGATGTTGCTCAAGGAGCTAAGATAGGGGAGGGGAGAAAAAGGATGAGCAGGTTCTGAGATTTCCCAGGAACTAAGCCAATGCCAGCTTCTACTCACAATATGTAAGTGATGACGCCAATGGACCAGCAATCCACAGCCTTGCTGTAGGGTTTCTGGGCCAATACTTCCGGAGCTGGAGCAAACCAAAGGTAGAGTCAGGGCTGGGGGGACCAGAAGAGAGGGCTGAGGGGGTGAGGGTCAAAGGTCAGGAAGAGGCTTAGCGAAGAGGACTAGGAAAGCCCCTGGGATGGTAGTGTTTCTGTAAGAATGAAAACTTTCCTAGGGCAGGGACTGTGGCTCTCCCATCAGACTGAATCTTCCTCCATCAGCCTGGAAGGTCCCCATGACAGGGCCTATGACTCTTACATCAGACCGGGGATCTCCAGGGCTACATCTCCCCCATCAGACTGAATACTCTCTGAAGGCAGGTCTACATTTCCCCATACAGATAGGGTATCCCAGGGGCAGGGCTGTGTGTCTCTGTTCAGACGGGGACATACATGAAATAGGGGTGGTCTCTCTCCCACTAGACTGGGATCTACCTGAGGGAAGAGACAGAGTCTTCCACATTAAATGAGCAACTCTTAGAGGCAAGTGATAACTGTCCCATCCACCTCAGGTACCTTCTGCTGGATCAGATCGAGAGCTCCATGAGAAAATGAGCCATGTATTTCCTCTGACTGGGAGCAGTAGAGAGTTACCTTCTGTATTTATCCCAGATACCAGGGCTTTGTACTCGGCGGGACTCAATACCTACTGACTGACCTCTCTTTGAGGGTGAGAGCAGATACTTCCTCTATTAAGTTAGAGGTCTCCTTCCCGTGTCCCATCCTCAACCAGGTGATGAGGGACTAAGAGGGAAGGGGCAGGAGGGGATGCTCTGAGTATTGGCTTTCTCTCCATGGATCTCAGGAATGCTTTCACCTGGTAACTTGCCTGCTCTTACTTTTTGGGGGGACTTGAAAGCCTCCTGTTTAGGCAGGAGGCCCCACCTCTACCAGTTTCCTAGGGTGTTTCTTTGGGAATATATTTGGGGGGGCATGCTTGGATTCCTCAGCTTCAAACTCAACACTAGGCCTCCAGGATACCACCAACTGGGGCACTGAGGTCTCCTCTGGAAGTGGGAGAAAGGAAAAGAGGCGCCTAGTGTCAACCCCTTGGCAATCTAACCATCTCTGGTTTTATGATCTTATTTCTGCCCCTCGTCTAGCCAGAAAGACAAAGGCAGGAAGTCTGTCTGCAAAAATGAGGGCCAAGTATAGGCAGGGGCTGTGGGAATGGCTCAGGGGTAGGCTATCTCTACAGATGTAGGGTTTGGGAGCAGGAGGGGTAGTTCCAGAGATACATGGATCTACCCTAAACCTCATAGTGAATGGTCTACTTGTATTGCCACTGAAGTTGAACCCTGTCTCCCCATAACCACCCCTCTCCATTAAGTAATACCCATGAGGTTGAACACAGCCAACTGATCAACCTTCCTCCTCCTCCCAGACTCACCCACGTAGCCTGGGGTCCCACAGGCAGTGGACATGACTCCACTTTGTTCCATCTTGGACAGACCAAAGTCTGTGATCATGATCTTAGAATTCTCTTCAGGGGTTAGGTACAGCAGGTTTTCAGGCTATGGGAGAAGAGCAATATCATGCAGTGTACGATATAATCATCTGAAATACATATTTCTTTTCCTCCCCTGATATATAATTTCTTAGGAAGCTGCGCTCTGGGCTCCTGACTTCAAGGTCAGACTCATCTCCCCCAGTTCTTCCCTCCGTCCTCCTGCCTGCTGCCCCCCAGTGCATATTGGAGCACCCTGTATTTTGCTTATGGCCCTCATGTTGCTCAGCTTTATAGCCATGAAGGTACTACTCCCACCCTCCCCATATCCCCAACTACCCTAAGACCGTTTGTTTTTTGAGGAAACCAAACCATGGTTAATTGTCTCTGATCTCTCTCAAGTCTAGTACACGCCTGATGCAATGTTGACCCTCAAGTTAGTATTTCTTACATTTGATTTTGACTGTGGCTAGGTTAAAGAAACATGTGGATTACCTTGGTATCCTAATAGGGTGAGGCCTAGTGAAAAGTTCAGGAAAGGGCTGAGATGAAAATTAGCGATGATTATTCAGTCATTTAGGTTTTGTTTAAGGAATGAGGGCAGAAGGGACCTTAGGAGTCTATTCGTCCAACCCCCTTTATTTTACACGGCTTAGGCTGCCCATGACCCAGGCAGCTTCCTAAAGGGTCATTCTCTGTTTCCCACTGAGGGCTCCCACTTTGGCACCTTTAAGTCTCTGTGGACGATGCCATTCTCATGGAGGTATTTCACTGCTGACAAGACCTGCTGGATCACCAGGCTGGCATCCTTCTCTGTGTAGACACCCCGCTCCAGGATCCGGTCAAAGAGCTCCCCGCCAGAAACACTGTGGGCATAGGGGCAAGCACAGGAGTCCAGGTCTTATTTCAGGTCAAAGGTACATAAGTGTGTTTGCTCTGTAGCCATGAAGACATAGCTGTGGCGGAACAGGCAGGTGCCCATGGCCTGGGCAGGGAGGTCTACTTCAGTCTGAGAATACCTCCTTTGGGTGCTGGAATGATATCACAAGGGAGTCGTTTCTTTGGGCCAACCATTGCCCTCTCCCCGGACCTTTCCTTACAATGCGAAATGCTCCCGGTTAGAGTCAAGCAAGAAGCTAATAATCCCTTAGTGGGCACATTCTTAGCTGCCTGCTTTCCTGGCCTAGGACCCAGAGAGTAATGATGAAAAGGAGAGGTGAAACTGAAATCAGGGCAAGGCAGGAGAGAGAAGGTGTACAAATGAGACCAATTGTGCCTGCGTCAGGATTTCTTTCCTCATTGTGGAAAGCTGGGCTACCTGAAGCCGGAATCATGGGTGGAGCTGTAACGATGTTTGGAGACTCCAGTGGTATGGTATCTTAGGATTCAGGGGCTTTAAGATACAGTCTGTCCCCTATCTCTTGAATGCCATCTACACTGCTTTTGCCAAGAAGTTCTGTAGTCCATGCTGGAACACCTCAGAGGGAGACCACTCACTACCTCCTAAGACAGACTGCTTTCTCTCTCGCCACCTTCTCAATATTTCTCTATATTATGATGGAACCCACTCCCGGCAGTTTCTACCAGCAGACACCACGTCCACCCACTGGGGCCATGCAGAGCAAGAATCCTTTCACATGAATCACTTCCAGTATGTGAAGGCAGTGAAATGCTCAGCTGCGGCCCTCTCTGGTGTAAACATTTCAGCCTACATCAACCATGAACCAGGGCTTCCAATTCCGTCACAGTCCTGGCCCTCTTCTCACTGTTCCAGGGCACTGAATACCAACATGCACATGTGATAGGACCATGCGGTAATGAGGAAGGAGAATTTCTCTACTCAAAATGTACACCACCCTACTCCTTTTGTTTCTGTCCTAAAGCTCTGGGCTCTGCCACAGGAGCTAGAGGCCCATGAGAAAGATAGTCTTTCTGCACAACTAGGAATTCCTGACTCCTAGGGCTGGCACTCTCGTCGGCTTTGCAACTCTTCAGTGACATCTAAATCTGCCTGCTTCCCGGCCTCCCCTTCGCTGTCTAAATGCGTGCTCATCGTGTTGAACTGGCCTCATTAAGGTGCCACATGGTCCCTGCTCCTTTGTTAGTGCTGTTCTGCCTCCCTCTGCCCCAACCTCACTCCCTTGACCACGTGCTCCCTCTATACACTGCGCCTCGGGTGAGCCTAGGAGTTAATAGACTGCTTAGGCCTGAGTTAGCTCATCCAAGTATCTGAGGAATCAGCCTGTCAGTCAGAAACATTGCATCTAGCTACAGAGATTGCAGAGTGGGGTGTGTGTATGTGTGTGTGTGTACTTTATAAATAGAAGTTTCTCTGAGTCCAAGGCTGAGCCCTCAGGAGCACCGACCAACGCCTATAGCATTCACTCTCCGGCAGAACTCCTATTTATATGTGACAATGATGTGGAGACTTCTCTAGTGAGGTGCCATTTCTGTCCCACAGATGGGCACACACGATCACAGCTTGTTTTTAACTTCGGATGGATCTCTTTTGAGAAAGTCTTTTTTTAAAATATCAAATTGAAATCTATGTGTCTCTAAAACAAATGAGGTAATGTATGGGGATTAACATAAGAATAAAAAAAAAAAAAGGGTGGGTGGGAAGCAACAAGACATGTTCTGGGGATGGGGGCAGGCGCACCCACCAGGAGAGGAGGGGTGATGAGGATCAGAACGGGTGGGAGACAAGTAGCATTGGGTCACTGTGGCCAGGTCCAGGTGGCTGGTCTCAATGCCAGCATGAGGAGGGTAGGCTTAGCCCTGGAGACAGTAGAGAACCGTCCAAAGGTTTGAATATGGCAGAGACATAAAAAATCGTTTTCAAAAGGGTTCTGAGGTTCTTCAGATGGGAGAACAGGGATTTCCAAGAACTGGGCTCAATCTCTAAGATGTGATGATGGGTCACTGCACTGGTGTGCCCAGTGAATGCCACAAACAGAATTTCTCCGAATTTCAGAGGAAACAGACAAAAATCTGTTTGGTGAGGCAGGTAGACACCATGGGGAAGGTTGGGCAGGCGAGTTGACGACGGGTAGATCGGAGGCTGTGGCCGGCCGCCCCTGAAGGGTGAGCTGCTGAGCTGGACGGAGAAGCTGAGGGGCTGGGTCAGTGCACGCCCTGCCCTTGTCCATCGATGTTTTACACAAAGATAAAGAATTTGTTTTTCAAACCTGTGGACAATAGGTTGTTAACACTGTAGGTAACAGAACCAGTTCCTCTAAGACCATCTCAGAAGGCTAAAAGGATGGGCTGAAACCAACAGGGTAAAATTAAAGAGAAGTATTATCTTCCACTCTGGGCTTATTTGGGCCTAAACTCACAAGTACAGCTCGGGTGAGGCCTGGCTTCTCAGAGGCTAATGTACCTGAAAACACTTTATAACTGCTAAAATGATAAAACGTTTCATAACTGGTGAGTGATAAGCACATATGAATTGTTGGTCACCGAAAAAAACCCAAGGGTTTTGAGTGATGTAAGCTCCATGGAAATTAGCAGGGTCTTGCTACAGCCAAAAGAGTGAATAAATACAAAGCATGCAAAGCAAGAGGAGTAATGGTTCAGGGATATTAAAAATCTTTAGTAACTGGTGTGTCACACATCTACGAGCCAGAAAAGGCTCAGGCTATAGCAATGGAACAGGCATTTACCTGTCTGCAGGAATTTACCTTTCATTGCAGGATTCTGGGGAAGATCATGCATGGGGGTCCTGGGGATGGGGACCAGGGAACACAACAGCAGCTGCTAAAGTTTCAATATTTGGTCAACCCGCAGGTCCATATGGGTGCCCAGTGGCTGAATGTCAGGCCAGTGACACTGCTGTTACCCTCTGAGGGTGGGATCTCACCTGGCGGATGGTATTCAGTGGTGGCTACTCCCTCCTCAGAAGGGAGACTGACAAGCCTGCACCTATCGCAGGGAGGGCGGCCAGGGTTGGGAGGTAGAGAAGGCTCGATAATTACAGCAGGTGAAGGTGAAGAATGGGTGAAGGAACTAGGGAGATTTAATCTGAGAACGTGTGGCCTCAGACATTTGAAAGACTTCCATGTGGGAGACAGAGCAAATATATTCCCACAGCCCTAGGAGACGGACCTGAGACAACTGGGTGGAAGCAGAAGTGGTCAGATTCTGGCTTCATGAGAAGGCTTTTAACAGCTAGAGCTGCCTAAAGCTGAAGCCTTGTGAGGCAGCGCGCTCCCTCCCTATTCCTAGAAGAGTTCAGGCTGAGGCTGGGTGGCAGCTCTCGTGAGTGTGGTAGAGAGGCCTCTCGCCTAGGGTGACAGGAGGGACAGGCTGGACTAGGTCACTTTGGAGTCCTCCACATTCTCCGCACATAATCTCGTGGTGGCATACGGACTGGATCAGAGCGGGGGGACTAGATTTATCTGAAGTGGTAACTGGGGAAGGGAAAGTGCGGAGCAAGTCTGGTCCCCCAGCCGGCTCTCTGGCCATGGTGCCCACTTGAGGATCATCGGTGGGATGGCAGCTGAGTCCGGTAGTCATAGGTTGGTAATCTGTTTGTTTTTTTTTTTTAAGATTTTATTTATTTATTTGAGAGAGGGGTGGGAGTACGAGAGCCGGGTGAAGAGCAGAGGGAGAAGCAGACTCCTCACTGAGCAGGGAGCCTGATGCGGGGCTCCATCCCGGGACGCCGGGATCATGACCTGAGCCAAATGCAGCCGCTTAACCCACTGAGTCACCCGGGTGTCCCGTAGGTTGCTAAGCTTGATGCCGGTGGTTTCCCTCATCAGTCTGGGACAACTGAGAGAGCCTAGAGCAGAGGAGGAGGGTAGGGGCTTCCTAGGTCTGGCTTCTCTTAAGAGTGGGGTACGGGTGGAGAGCCGTGAGGCTGGAGAGAGCTGCCCCAGTGTCCAGCCCTCCCCCCGCCAGGTGATTTCTCCTGCAGGTGCTGCCTCCAGGTCGTGGGAGGAGAAGGAAGGCTGGGGAGTCTTTGGGTATCTCACCAGCTCCTCCTTCTCCCCTTGCTGTCCCATCTGCCCTCAGACATGGAGTCGGAGCTGCTGCGGGGGAGCCAGGCCATCAGGCTTCGCTCGGCAGACCTGACGGGGCTGGAGAAGCACGTGGAGCAGATCCGCAACCACATCAACGGGCGTGTGCTCTACTATGCCACCTGTAAGTGATGCACCAGCCTGCAGCCCCCAGCCCCGCTCATCTGCCCTCTCTACTTTTGGAGGACAGGCTGGGCTGGGATGCCTTCCGGCTCCAGGAGACTTACACAGCCTAAAGCACAGCCCGGACGGCCCCTGGCGCGCAGCTGTTAAGATTATTCTGGGCTGCAGCTGAGCCAGAGCTGATGGGAAATTACATCTGAGAGACAGAGAGGGTGGAGGCGGGCCGTGTCCTTGTGACGAGGAGCTCTCAAGTGGAGGTGCACTTGGTTGGCCAGTGTCCTTGCCCTTCATCTTCCATGGAGGCTGAATCCTGGAGGGACACCAAAACTTAACAAAAACATGATGTACAAATGAAAAGCCTAATAAAAATCTTTCAAAAGAAGTCTGGAGGTTGAAAGAGAGAAAATGATCCATCTCCCCATTAAGTACACCTTTGTCACTTGTTCCTGTCTCCCACCTGGGGTTCCTGGGTGCTCCTCTGCTCAAGCCCAAGGCCTGGAGGTATATGAAGCATAGGCTGCCCCACTTGGCTCAGTACAGCTTGCTCGTCCACCAAACTTAGGGGGACTGGATCCCTTTGCCCCAGGACCCAAAGGATCCCATCCTTGAGAGATCAGATGATTTCCGTCTTTGAGCAGTGATCCAGTTGCTCATTCACAGATGAGGAAATAGAAAGCCAGAGAAGGGAAGTATGGCGTCCAAATTCCCACAGCTCCAGAGGCGGACTCTGTGTCTCTTGGGATCTCAAGGAGAAGTTGCAAATGGATGTGCATTTGTGTGTGTGGCAGATATGGAAATGGCGTGAATATCTGTGTGCTAACCACGGCCTGTGCAATGTGCTAGGCATTTTTAAAATTAAAAAAATAATTTTTTAAAGTTTTATTTATTTATTTGAGAGAGACAGAGACAGAGAAATAAAGCACAAGCAGGTGGAGGGGCAGATCGAGAGGGAGAAGCAGACTCCCTGCTGAGCAGAGAGCCCCTCGTGGGACTCGATCCCAGGACCCCAGGATCATGACCTGAGCTGAAGGCAGACGCTTAACGACTGAGCCACCCAGGTGCCCCGTGCTAGGCATTTTATCTACATTTTCTTGATCATTATTAATCATGTTAATTATTGAACGCTGTGCTAGATACAGCGTCTGCGTTATCTCATGATGCAGGTGGTACTGCTGTTCCCATTTGACAAGTGAGGAAGCCAAGGCACAGAAGGCTGTGTTACTCCCCGAAGGTCACAGATGTGGCAGGGCAGAGGGCAGAGGGCAGGGCTTCAAATTCACGATCCTCTAGAGCATCTAATGTAGTCATTAGGAGAATGGATGCCGGAGCCTGACTGCTTGGGCTCCAACAGAGCCTACCCCGGGAGTTGTGAGGAGTAAACGAGTCAACAGATGTAACTCGTGTCACTTAGTACCTGGCACACGCTATGCTCTCAGTCTGTGTCAGCCACCACCCTGCCAGGTTCCTCCTGACCCCAAGGCCCCAGCACACTTTCCATTCCACACAGGCTCAGAAGTCCCAGGGCCACGTCTGACTTTAGGAAGAACGAAAGGAAGCCTCCTAGAGAAAAATATGTCCATTTTATTGAGCACAACACCGAACATGAAGCTGGAGGGGGCGGGGGTACAAGAAAACGAGGGAGGGACAAGAATAATGCCCCTGATTTTCAGGGAGAGAAAGAAGAGCAGAAGCAGGATGAGAATTACCAGCTGAAATGAAAACAGTCAACTTCCAATTTTTACTTAATCCGGTGTGGGTGAGGCATCTGGCCGGGATAAGAACTCCTTACAGTTCCTCCTTGATTTCTTTCTTTTTCATCTGGAAGGCTGTGGTACTGCTTTTGGCCTGGGGCAGGGAGGGAGGTGTGCTGGGCCAGCTGGAGCTAATCATGGAGTCAAGGATTGGAACTTGAGAGCTCACAGGCAGACCACGGAGCCGCCTGTCATTCATGCAGATGGGCAGGCGACTACATTAATGAGCCCATTCTGGCCACGGGCACGAACGCCTCGAGGCAGGAGCGTGTGCTGAGCGGGAGCCTGGGTCGATGCTCCATATGGCTTTGCTCGGAGAAGGTGACACAGGCTGGCCAGCCCAGGAAGCTTTTCATCACAAACAACACAGACCCGGGTGAGAGCTACCTAGTTCACTGCACAGAGCCACGGCACGTGGGGTGTGGGGGCACAGAGCAGGCAGGTCAGGGAGACCTGGAAGCGGGTGGACACCGCTCCTCTTGCCCACAGCTTCAACGAGGCCTCCGTGCCTTGGGGGCTCGCTCCTGGGCCTTCTGGGAGGGTCTGCCCCAGGCAGCAGCAGCCCAGGGCTTCTCACCGTAAACTCCTGCCAGGCCCTGCTCCGCCCGCTCCGCCTTCCTCCCGCTGCAGGGTGGACGCCAGGATGGGAAGGCAGAGAAGAGTTGCATGTCTCTCCTGCAGAGGAAAGGGGTTCAGGGTGGGGGTGGGCCTGCGGCTCCCGGCGCCCCTCAGCCCCGTTCATTCAACTCTGTGATGGGGCTGGCCTTCTGGGACAGCCCCCTGTCCTGGCCCTCCCACCTCTGTCGCCTCACCTGAAAATTGACACAGGCGTGGGCTCCAGGGATCACATAATGAGACAGACTCCAGTCTGCCCCGCCCGGCAGTGGGAACCGCCACCCGCTTTAACTGGCACCATGACCTCTGATTTGTAGTTCCTGGAAAGCAAATGAGGCGGGGGGCTGTGAAGTGTTTGGGGAAGGGAGAAGAGCTGGGGGGCGGCGGGGCGCTCTCCGTGCCTGTGGCCTCCACTCGGCCTCCCCTCTGTCAGGTTCCAAAAGTACAAGCCCTTGCAGAAAGGACGAAGATGACAACGAAGCCCCACTTTTTCCCCCCAAAATACAATGGTTCTGGAAACTCCAGAAATCTAGTGCCCCCCACCCCACTGACATGTACTCGGTTTTCTGCAGGCATTTATAATTCCCGTTGCTTCACTAAACTTTTAAGTAGCTTGGTGAGGTAGGCTGGGCAGGCAGCTATGATCTCACAGATGAGCAAACCAGAAACAGAGACATCGACTGATCGATCGGCTGGTAGCCACACAGTTAGGGATAGGGACAGGACTGGAGGCATTTCCCTTGGCCCCTTGACCCAGAGCTCTTCCCACCCTGCAGGGCCGGCTCCCTTTGGCCACTTTCTTTCAGCCCCGTTGCCTGAGCAGGGTGAGGCCTGTGTGTCTGGCTGAAGATACGTACTGTTTTTTGTTGGCTTTTTTGAGGAGGGTGGGCTCGGAGCAGTAGGAGGACTTCCCTTTGCTCCCGATGCTCAGGCAGCTGGAACAGCAGCTGCAGGGCCCGGCGGCCAGGGCCCCCTGCTGCATGGGCACCAGGCTGCTGCTGATGCGGAGCGAGCCATTGACCAGGCAGTTGAGGGACCTGCCCCCGGGGGGCCGGCAGGGGAGCCGCGCCAGGGCGGGAAGGGCCACGCTCTGGTCCAGGGCCGGGGCCTCGGTGATGGTGATCTCAGAGGGGCTGGGTCTCGAGGCTTCTGAGGCTGGAGTGCTGGGTGGCCTGTTCTCCACCTCCGGACGGAGGCCTGGGCTGTGCAGGTTCATGTGCAGCTTCCTCATGTGGTGGACCACGGCGGCCGCGTTGAAGGCTTGCTGGGAACACACCACACCAGCCTCTGACCCTCTCCATTCTCGGAAGGCCACGGGGCTCAAGCTTTCCCTTTGCCCCGCAGCCTCAGCCTCTTGAAACTGATGTGCCCGCGTCTCACTTCAGAGAGGGTCCAGGGAGGTCCAGTGTGAGCCGGGAAGCCCTGGGGAAAGCCCCTACGCCAGCCCTGCCCCAGCTCAGCCTCCAGGGGCCTGGAACAGCCTGCCTACCCCCTGCAAAGGGCAACTTACCCTCCACTTGCTCTTGGCAAAGTTCTTCTGGATCTGGAGACTGACTGACGGGTAGATGTCCCTGTGGAGGGCTGTGTTTCCATCAATCCTGTGGATGTAGAAGGGACACCTGGCTCGTGGGGGGCTGTGGGAACTCAGCCCGGGGTTGGGCAGGGGGGCTGTGCATGCAGGTCCAGGTTAGCTGAATGGAGTGCCTCAGAAGAAGGGTGGCCCACGGCAGGAACGGGCTGGAACCAGGGCTCCTCTGTCCCCCTGGGCAGGTCATTACGGGGCCCATGCTTTGGCAAAACCATAGTCTTGCTTTATGGAAGGGTGGCAAACTGTGACCTATGGGCCAAATCTACCCATTGCCTGTTTTTGTAACCTGGTCTCCCTGGGATACAGACACGCCCATTGATTCAGGTATGACCTATGGCTGCTTCATGCTGCAAGGGCAGACTGAGTAGCTGCCCTATAGACAGTATGGCCAGCTAAGCCTAAGATACTTATTTTCTGGCTTCTTCTAGAATAAGCTTTCCAGCCCCTGTGTCAGAGGGTGCTTGGGTTGTCACTATCCTTTAGCTCAAAACTGTCCTCAGAACGTGCTTCCTCCTGGAAGCCTTCCTCAGTGAGGCCACCCGATTGCTGCCCTCTTGCTGGTCATCCATCTCTGTGTGTTCCTCAGATACTTGCCACACGGGGCACAGTACTTTCGAGGTACTAGGGACACAGAGAAGTAACGGATGGGACCCTCATCCCTGGGGTTTTCCAGTGGAGCCGTGGAGCCTTGTTCCATGCCATGGACTTGAGTAATTCATGGTAAGCTAATGTGTAACTGCTAACGAGAGGTAAGGAGGTATACCTGGCTTGCAGGACCCAGGGCTTCAGGGCAGGGCAGAAACTGCTCTGGATCCCGAGGGATGCTACATACAAGGCAAGAGGCAAGACATTCTAGGTGGTGAAAATGGTGTGACCCAAGATATAGGCTGGAAAGAGCTTGGGATAGGGAGCAGGGGAGGGCAGGAAGAGAAATACAGCTTTGAGGCCTTCCTGGAACAGAGGAGGCATGTTGGGAATTTGGGGAAATCAAGGTGGAGGTAAAGGGTCAGGCCAGATTAGGGAAGACCTGAAAAGGCGGAGGAAGCTAGGCTTGCTGTGGTAGGAGGTAGGGAGCTGTTGTGAATCTTGAACAGGCGTACAGCATGTAAAAAGTGTTGTAAGATTTATTTACTCACTTTACTGATTGGTTGCTTTGTGATTCTTCACAAATCACCTCACTTAGAACAGGTTTTGACCCCACAGTGAAATGATGCTCTTAAGGACAGGGCAGAGCTGCCCACTCCTGGGTGCTTCTTGAGTAGCTAGTACTGAGTATTGCACCCTAGTACTGATGACAGGGCCTGGCTGAGTCTGTCTCCTGCCCTTGACTAGGAGACACAGCGGCCACTCGTGGGTCAGAACCCACTTCATTCAATGCTGTTTGCATCTCTAGCGGGACCTGATAAACACGTCTGTGCTCCTTGCGTGCTGCAAGAGTAAAGAGCTCAGGGCAAGCAGACTCTGGGGAAACACCACGTGAATGAGTCGTCGTGGTATCTGGGGAACCACAAGGCTAGGGTCCAGAGCCCACCCCATCCTCACTCACCAGGGGTGCCTCAAGGCCTTCTCGCAGGTGTACCGTTCATTCGGGTCCTTCTCCAGCAGGTGGCAAATAAAATCCTTGGCTAAGGGGAGCAATCAAAGACACAACTAAGGACAAGATTTCAGGACTGCTGGAAATTCACTTCCGGGCTGGTGGGTGGCAGTGAATGCATCTTTAGCTAATCTTCCAAAGAGGCAATTTTAAGAGTCTTAAAAGAGAAAAAAAAAAAAAAAATCCAAACCACCTAACAACAACCCACCATAAACCACCGGAGAGAGGCTCTACGTGGCCTCACCCACACAGCACTGCAGATACACCTCTTATCCCGAGGCCCCAGTGAGCCTGCACTCCGCGGCTGTGTGCGTGTGCACCAGTCGGGGGCCGACAGCCACCCATGGGTCCGCGTGAGTGCCGCCCCAGCCCACCTCTGATCCCCACTTAATGGGCCCGACGATGACAGCCTTCTCTCTCTCTCACACACACATGTCGCATGCTCTCAGTCTGGATATATAATAAAGGCAAAACTTGGCCTTGGTTTTGCCACTCGTGCCTGGAACACTCCCTTGTGCAGGCTCTGCCTCCTGGCCGCTCATCTAAACTACCTTC